AATCTAATCTAGTCTCATTTAATCCAATGTAGGTAAGCAAATGAGGCCTGATGTGATTGAATAGCTTAGGCGGCTCAGCTAACCTACATATTATATTTTGTTTTGGGTGGTTGCCCGCATATTAAGAAACTCAATAAATATGCATAGATTATACCAAAAATATCATAGTGAATACTAAAATACCATTGTCATTAATTATTTTTCAATTAACTAACTAAGCGTGATAAGGGGCGAAATTTATAAAAGAGCAATTAATGATCTGTTAGAACTCTAAAATGACAAATAAGTTGGTACAAAAGAACATCCTAAAAAGACAAATAATATGGGACATATGGAGTATAAGATAAAATGAAGATGGGATTTTTTTGGGTAAATTCCACCTTCCCCCTTGTACTTTGGCTCGGTATCACTTTGCCCCCTTCTACACTCGATTGCATCAATTTGCCCCCTTCACTTGAAAAATTGTCTCAATACGGCCCTCGCTGGTAGTTGTCAGACATTTAACCTTAACAACATTTGATTTAAGCTCTAAAATTAAAAAAATAATAACAATAATAATAAAATAAAATAATAAAAAATTCAAGACAACGAGAAAACATAGTCCACGACGCCAGCCACAATTTTTATTTTTTTTTTCTAATAATTATTTAAACTGGAAGGGGTGGTTTTTTTGTAATTTTCAGACTTAGTTGAAACGGTGTTTCAAATGTTTGAAAACTAACGGCTAGGGACACATCATTGTGATAATTTTTCAAGTATACGGGGGCAAATCGATACAATCGAGAGTAGAAGGGGGTAAAGTGATACCAAGCCAAAGTAAGGGGGAAAGTGGAATTTACCCAATCTTTTAAGCGTTGAAATAGAAACACTCATTTGAAGTCACTAACGAATGTCTAAGGTTGAACCTTGAAATTTTTTTTTCCTTTACTGCATGAGAAATTTAGCATCGATCTTTGCCAAGTCCTCGTATCGCTCCACCTTCACCCATAATCGCATCTCTTCTACCCAAAAACTTCATTTCTCAGCCAGCTCCAATGGCGAACAAATCAAACACCATAACTGCATTGCGACTCTGCTCCAAAACCCCGCCGAAATCAGTTCACTCAAAGAAGCAAAATCATTACACGCACTCGTCATCACAGTGGGCTCGTTTCCCGCACAAGAACCCGTTTTCCTCCACAACAATATCATCTCAAAGTATGCGTCCTTCGGCGAAATTTTCATGGCTCGCAAGGTGTTTGATGAAATGCCTCAGAGGAATGTTGTATCGTATAATACCATGATTACTTGTTACAGTCGAGATGGGTTTTTGCAGGAGGCTTTGGAACTGTTTTTGGAAATGAAAAGGTACGGTTTTAAGCCGACGCAATTCACATTTGGCGGCTTATTATCGTGTCATTTGTTGGATGCCCTTGAAGGAATGCAGTTGCACGCTTTGATTGAAAAGACGGGGCTGTTTTATTTAGACGCTTTTGCTGGAACTGCATTGTTGGGAATGTACGGGAGATATGGATGTTTAGATGAAGCTCTCGGAATATTTGATTACATGCCTAAAAAGAATTTGGTGACGTGGAATAGCATGATATCTGTATTAAGTGAGATGGGTTATTTGGAAGATTGCATTTTTATGTTATCGGAGATGATAATGAGTCGAGTTGGAATATCGGAATACACTGTCGTGAGCGTTTTAACTTGTTTGGAAGAAGTTAATATGCAATTAGGAGAGCAAGTACACGGGCTAGTGATAAAGTATGGATTCGATAACGTAACTTCGGTGCACAACTGTCTGATTAACATGTACGCGAAATGTGTCACCACTTCGTCGGCGGAGAAAATGTTTGAGAGTGCTCATGTTAAGGATATTGTCTCGTGGAACACACTAATTGGTGCAATGGCAAATAGCGATCGACCAATCAGAGCACTTGATTTCTTCTTGAAAATGTGTAGGACTGGATTATCACCTAATGAAAGAACATTCGCCAACGTGCTCACCGCTTGTTCGAGGCTGCAACTTTTATCGTATGGAGAATGCATCCATGCGAATTTGATTAAGAAACGATACGAGTCTGATGTGTACAGCGGCACCGTTTTGGTTAATTTCTACGCGAAATGTGATAAACTGCAAGAAGCGCGTGTCTGTTTCGATTGTATAACTCAGAAAAATCTTGTTTCTTGGAATTCGTTAATGCTGGGGTATTCGAGCATGGGTTCTTCTTCAATTTCCGTAACGCTGCTTCGAGAAATGATTCAGTCAGGCTATCACCCGAACGAGCTGTCGTTTTCGATCGTTATTAAATCGTCATTAAGAACGGAGTTGCTACAGCTTCATTCGCTGACAATAAAAAAGGGTTACCACGAGAATAGTTACGTGTCGAGTTCTCTTATAAGCTCTTACGCAAGAAACGGTCTGGTATCCGAAGCTTTGACATTTGTCGGATCTGCGCAGACAAAGTCTTGTGTTGTTTCATCCAATATTATTGCGTGGATTTATAACCGAACCGGACAGTACGAAAAAACCCAAGAATTCTATGCCGATATAGAGAATCCAGACGCGGTATCTTGGAATATTCTGATTGCAGCTTGTTCGCGAAACTGTTATTATAAAGAGACTTTCGAACTCTTTGATCACATGCGCAGATCTCCAATCTGTCCCGACAATTACTCTTACGTGAGCCTCTTCAGTGTTTGTACCAAATTGTGTAACCTCGCTTTAGGCAGTTCTCTTCACAGTCATATTCTCAAGACTAGTTATAAGTTACGCGATACGTTTGTTTGCAACACCATGATTGACATGTACGGGAAATGTGGAAGCATCGAGAGTTCGATTAAAATATTTTACGAGACGACAGAAAAGAACATTATTTCTTGGACCGCTCTTATCTCGACCCTCGGACTGCATGGCCATGCAAATGAAGCGTTGGAAAGATTTAAAGAGATGGTGAAAACGGGTATCGAGCCCGATAAAGTTGCGTTTTCAAGTGTTCTCTCGGCTTGTAGACACGGTGGATTGGTTAAACAGGGGATGAATTTGTATAGAGAAATGAAAGTGAAGTACGGAGTTGAACCGGATATTGACCATTACGTCCTTGTTGTCGATTTATTGACGAGATACGGACATATAAAAGAAGCGGAGCAACTCATTTTGGAGATGCCTATTGCACCGAATGCGCTGATATGGCGTTGTTTTCTTGACGGCTGTAAGAAACAAAGAACCGTAGAAAGTCTTGTTTTTTCACCGTAGAGTAAGTGTTTGTGCACAGCTGATTATTTACGAATATTGTCTTCGATGTAGTTATGGATTATTTTAAAATGTTTCTTCATCGATGAAAACGTTTCCTATTTAATGAAAGCGATGAACCAAGACTTGCGTTTTCGTCCTTACTATCATGTAGCCCTATGTCCCGAAAATGGGAATACGGGAACTTGGGGGAAACGTGTAAATATTAATAGAATAGGGGTGCATTTTAAATATGCTATATAAACATATATAAGTTTTTATTTATATATAAATTCTTTTTATATATTTTATACAAACATATTTAAAATAAATTTACTATAAATTTGCAATTGATCATTAAATCATGTTAATAATTCGGGAAACAACAAAAATATTTGATAATTTGCTATTCAAAAGCGTTTCTAACTTTTTAGAAATTGCGAAATGGTTCATAATGTGTCCGGCAGATGTCTTCGAGTTTCTGACACGAAATGTTTCCGAAACACGGAAACGTTAAGAAGTCGAAGTTTCCATGCTGCATAGATGTTGCCTCATTCCATTTGCCAATAACTCGTGTTAGATATTTGGTTTCATTGAAGGATGCCTGCCATTGGCTAGATGGGATGAACTAAATTTCCTCTTCAATCGATATGGTTAACAAGCCCGTTAATCCTACGAACTCAAGTTATATAAAAGAGATAATGCCGATATTGAAATTTGAGATCAATTTATAGAGTTCGATGCAGGGAATTTTGTTACGTTCGGGTTGAATTCTCTTCACCTAATTTTGTTACGTTTGGGTTCTCGGGATTCGACGAATGCTGCTTCTCTTATTTGTCTTACAGTCACAAAGGGGTATACCATTTATGGTTGTGTAATTGGCAAGAATCATCTGTCATTCTATAACTACAGATGATGGAAGTCTTGTTCATATATGTGTTGTTTCTTGTCAGTAAGTTCGTTGGTGCCCGTAATAGTTGCCCCTTACTTCATCGTACTTGTTTTATGCTTTTCTTTTGTTTTCATTCTTTCCACGTTGAAGAAATAAAAATATTTGAGTTTTTCATTATGTGTGAGTATCGGTCTTTCGTGACATTTTTCTTCAAGGTCTTTCATGTTGATTACTAGGTAATTGTGATTTGCAGCGTGAATTTGATGGTTCTTGAAATTTGAGTACGCTCGTATAATTGTAATTTGTAAGAAAATTTTATCACCACAAGTGTAATCTTGTATTCTCGAGTATCATTCTCGTCGAACAATTTATCAGTTTCACATATTTCTTGACAATTATAACTATTTTCATTTGAAGTAAGGACAAACTTTTTTTTTCTTTTTTTTTTAAATTTGATTAAGCGGTTAGTTTTTTTTATGTTACTCAAAATACCCTACTTTCTCATTTGAACTAAACTCACCCGCTCAAGGAATGGTCAACTACGTTCCGTCGATTGGTAAAGCTGATCTAAGTTGATTGATATAGTCGACTAACATATAGTTAGTCGACTAAGTTTTTAGTTAATCAACTAATTTGATACCTATACAGTCAAGTTGTTCTTGTTTTTTACTTGCAAGACTAGTCTAGAATTTCAAATCTAAGAAAAAAAAACTCCATTTCTCTGCTTGGTTGAGGATATTTGTCTTCCATCTCTTCAAAACATGTTTGATCTCCATCACATTTTAGTATCAAAATAACTACAATCATGATATTAATGTAAGTAAATTTGAACTCTATCCTATGATTATTATGAAGAAAAAAGTGAATCAGGAGTCACGTCATCAAACATTAAAATGAATCATCAGAACAGAATGGTGGGAACACATTCGATTTATTGGTCATCCAAATAATTATTTTCTCATGCATAAGAGCAACTCCAATGGGCGGCATTAAAATGAAGTATCAAACATTCAATTAATGCTTGAAATAATACTTTAATACTTCCAAAAAAATTTTGTGTTTCAACCCATAAGTATGAAATACATTAAATTTAAATAAAATTAAATTAAAAACAAATTAATAGATATATGTATTCCCTATTATATAGGAATGTGTTGATACTAAAATTTTTGTCCTGTTAATATTGTGGTTCCAAAAATGAAGGACTATTTGATTCTTTTCTTTTTGGAGTGCATTTTTGCAACTCCATGAGGTGAAGTATCAAGAAAACTACTAATTTAATGTCTCCATTGGAGGGGATTTTTTGTGTTTTGAAGTATTAAAATGGTAGTTTTCTCATTTGATACTCCATTTAATTTCTCCATTGGAGTTGCTCTAACTAACCTTATATCTAACCAAGAACAAAGCTTCGTCAAATCCTTGATAATTGTAGTGCCTTTGTCCAGCAACACATTTTTATTTGTATGTGTCGTGTTTCTAGAGCGAAGCAGTTTCTACAGGTATTTTTGAAGATTGCATGAACCAATTGAGCTAGGGACAATATCATAGCAATATGAAGTTTGTGCTATCCGGTGGGCCTTTCGGTTAAATGTATTGCGTGGATAGTTTACAAATAAAATCATAAATCCTATTTATACTTCTCTACCCTGGAATGGATGTTGGAAAATGATTGAATCTTAATGTTGGGAGTGGATCCGTAAAACACTACATTAACCATTTTTAGTACCTTTTAGAAGGTAAGTAGAACAAAAAGATTTTTAGAAAATTCATAGAGACATCAAAAACTTTATGACAACTTCATAAAAATATTTCAAGATAATTCTTATCTGCAAGTGGTCACTTTGGGTTTTCTTTTCAGATAGTTTCTTGGTCCATTGAGAACTTTTTTGGCCAAAGTATCATAAAATTTAGTCCAAAACACCTGGATTGTGAGTCCTCATCATCATTGCATATTGTTTACAATTATGGGATTTGTGTGAGGAGGCCCATGACCTACAGTCTAGATTTATGTTTTTTTATTTATTTTGCCAATAATCTCATCCTTTAACATGTATTATAAATAAAGGCGAACTTTATGTTTATGACAAAATTTACCCACAATCCTTTAACTCAATTTGTAATTTTAACCATAATTTAACTTTGATAGAATAATAAAATATGTTTTTGACTTTTTTTTTTTAAACTTTTGTCATAGATTTTTTTTTCAACCGTTAGACTCCGGCGTTGAATTTTAGTTTTTCTACTTTTTCCCGCCGCTGCTGGCCGGTGGTTAATGCCGATTTTCGGCGATGTTGACTTTTCTTTTTCTAGGTTTTTTTTTTCACTATCGCCGCTCACCATTGACAATAACATCAATGTGGTTGACAGTAAAATTACTATAAACACATCAATGTCTATTAACCATATCAATGTTTAATTTTTTGTTTTCCTTTTGTTTGCTATGTTGACCCGTCAACGTAATAATATTACTATCTAGAATTGTAATATTGATCTGATTGACAGTCTTATTACTCTCAACCTCACTAATGTTACTATGACTATGATTGACGGTAATAGTACTGCCAACTGAGCAATATTAATTCTTTTAACTTTTTATTTTTGTTTGTTTCGTTGTCTAGTCAAGATAATAATATTATTGTCTAGTATTGTAATATTATTGTGTTTGACAGTCATATTACTGTGAACCTCACTAATATTGATGTGGTTGGTCAACCAAAGCAATATTATTTCTTTTACCTTTTTATTTTGTTTGTCTTTGTTGACGGGCAACATAATAAATTGTTGTATTACATAATAATTTGCTATGTAACAAAAAGATTTTGTTGTGTTACAAATAAAAATAAAAAATCAACATCGCCAAAGATTGGCGTTGACCGCCGGTGGGAAAAAAACTGAAAGAAACAAAAAAAAAAAATCAACGCCGTAGAGACAGTCAGTAAGCGGCAGTGGCGGAGAAAAAGTTAAAAAAAATAATTAACAAAGGAGGCCAATGGTCAACGGCGACGACGATCAAAATTGGAGCAAAAATTGGATTAGGGTTAAAGTTGAAAAAAATGTACTAAAATTGTGGTTAAAGTGATGCAATTGAAGTATATTAAAATAGGAGGATGTATTTTAGTCCCTTACACACCTCTTGACTTTGTCTTGATTATTTTGTAAAAGAGATTTGCGGGTGGACCTAGATTGAAATAAGTTGTCCACTATGAGCTTTTTTGTAATTACACCTAAAATTAGTAGTTAATTACATATTCATTTTACAATTGTCGAGTCTATTAGAATAACAATGTTTAAAAGGGTTAAATATCATCAATAAATTGATTTTTTTTTGTAAGGAAGACCGACCTGCCAAATTATATTCGGAAAGTCATAAAACATGATAAACTCGGGTTATGGAGTTTTCGTTTGAAATGAGCTATAGGACTAAAAGATGGTTTCTCGGCATCGAGTTTTGCATGAATTAGTTGAATCTTTGTGTTGGGCTAAATGCCTAACACGCAAGTGCACGTATCGGAAACAAGTAGTAATAGTGGACTCGTAAGAGTCGGATGTCGATCCCACAGAGAATACTCAAATTATCTAATCCTAAGTATCAAATTCTAACAACTATGATTTTTATCCAGCCTACGCAAGGTTGTGAAATTATTCAACTAGATAATTAAACTAATTATGAAAGCAAATAAATACGAGAAAATATCTATATAAAAATGGATCTAGGATTTTATCTTCCCCCTATGCGATAAATCGTCACCCAATTAATCCTCTATCATGCAAGTTATGATTCCCGATTATTAACCCTAGACACTCAATTACTCATAACCCGTTGTCGCGTGTATTATGAGTCTAGTATTCATAAACGATTCACTATATATGATGGGGTCCATTTTGGCAAGCTTGGGTTGGGCCCATGGAAATAGGTCAGCGGAGGAAACACGAGCTGGGCCGGAGGAGTTTGTAGGAATTTGTGGCCCAAATTAGGCATTAACTCGTACGACAAGGCGCGAACTGCATGGGAAGACTAAGAAGAAGGAAAGGAGATATTTTATACAAGGAAAGGCGATAATATCGGATCAGTTAAGAAGGAAACGTGGAATTTAGAGATAATTGGCTGATTATACCCCTCTATTAACTCACCTATATAAACACATGTAAAAACCCTCATTAGGGTTACGTTTTTAATACATCAACTAGTACTTCACCCGTGCGTTGCACGGATATCAGTTT